ACACGTGTATCAAGTACCGTCGGTCTAATAAAAATCATAGAATCCTATAAAGCAAGTTGTATCGTAGGTCACTTCGACTTTTGGATTTACAACGTCGCGAAGAAATATTTCACGTGGCGAATTTATACGATGATATTTAATTCATTGACCTTTTAAATTCTACTGTCGTCCATAGACCACGGATCAAAAATTTCGTAAATCACGGCTGTCGTCCAGCAGCGATATTATGGTTTTTAGGAAATTTCATAGGTAGAAATTAACGACGAATCCGTTTTACGATTATTTCATATTATAATTTTATACACCACGTAAATAATTCTAATTTTCTGTTCACGCTGTCATTTTCTTTTCTACCAGATAAATACTTGTATTCGTGTTATACGTTCACGTATTTATGTATCTCAATGTTAACCAAATTTCAGTCGACTAATTGACACGCGTTATAATGATAATAATATTGTATTTTTCTAACCATTTTGTTTTTTTTTTGTTTTACCTTTTTGCGATAGTAAGCTACGAAAAGGTGCGCGTACTTAAAGGATTAAATATATTTATATATTTCAATGAACTTAGGGTCGATAAAGATGATGAAATTGTACGAAGGCAATTAGTACTTATAATATTATTAATTCTAACATCTCAAACGAAAGCAACGCTGGTATTCTCCTTTGTTAAGTATTTCGAAAATCTTCAAGCGGATAAGGATCGCCAAATCCTGTAAAGACAAGTTGAGTCGTGGGAGATTATTTCGTCCTTTAGACCCTTTCGAGGCAAACTTGTTTCAGGAAATTTAAATAACCGAGAACTGGGGATTAAAATTACATCGGACAACGAATATAAAACGGTTAGGAGACCGGATGAATTAAAGATAATCTGACCACTGGAACTTTAAAAAACAATCCATTTGGCAGCGAGAATTGGCCCGAGAGTAAAGAAGGGATTTTCTGAAAGTGTTAAAAAAGCGGACGTATCCTTCGAAACTTGCAAATGAGTTGAAGATTCCATCGAATCTGTGACGTAGTTTATACAGGGTGGTTGGTAACTGGTGGTTAATTTTTTTTTTTTAATTTTTCCATCGAGACAACGATCTACAGTGAGATCCGTCATAACGTACCGCACGCGTACCGAGCGAAAATTCAAAATCGATTTTCTCGAAAACAAAGCCTCGAACGAAAAATTTTTATTCTATATTTTCCATTTCTTTTTTCGCGTAGAATCATCCCCTTTCCGCTTGTACCACCAGTTACCAACCACCCTGTATATTAAATATTTTGTAGTTTCTATGTAACGTTTTCAGATTCGTTTCGAGTACCAATCTAACGATGGCAGTCACGTTCCACTACAGTGATAACGAAGTTTCATTTGGAATTTGCTTAAAAAATTGCCCAGTATAATCACCACAGTTTTATTTAATACGTACATTAACACACGTATTAAGGTTCGTTCAAAATTGCACGTATAACGTAACCTTAAAATTTGCCGCATAATATAATTACAAATACGACAATCGTGTTTCTCTATATTACTCGTGAAATTTCAGAACGTTTCGTGCGATACGTACGATATGCGTTTCAAGATTCGTTCAACATCTTACCACTTTACCGACCGATAGTCGATTAATCGGTTCTTTGTCGCCGACGCTTACCGACCGATAGCCTACTAATCGGCCTTTTGTCGCCGATAATCTTTCTCATTATTTGAACAATAATTTGTTATTTGGTACTAAGGTATCTTGCTCAGTTGCGTCAGTTGCGTTGTTTTGTAAGCTTCCACAGTTTTATACCAATTTGAAAAACTTACTAAACCGAAACAGTGCCGGCGCCAGGGAGAATCAGCGCCTGAGCTACCGATGGACGTGCGTATGCTGTTGAACCGCTAGCGGTCAGTAAAGTGTTACCAACGCGATTATCGCAATAGCGTTTCGATGAAATTTCAAAATTCTCCACATACGCAGTACGCGTGATATATCGAAGAAAATGTTACGGTACAAAGTTGGCGAGCAAAGGTTGCGAGGGTACGTTCAAAAAAATCCTAGAAGCCATCGTATTTGACGCTTATAGAAAATCCCATCTTAAATCGTCCCGGAGGAGAATCCAAAAAAAGAGAAAAAATGTTATGGGGATGTAGGAAAAAGGTTGCGTCGTATCGACGGGATGCTTACCGGTACAAACAACGGCTGACGATGGCCGCCATACCTCGGTCGTAACAAGCGGTATACAAATAGCGAGGGGTCGGTATCGGGCGTGTCTCTATTAAACGGTTTTTGTCGCGGTGCTCGACATTGTTTTAGTGGCCGTGTTACTTCACACGATGAAAATTGAATAGCAGCCCGATAAGAGGCAGCCCTCGAAGCCGAAGAAGAGTGCATTTACTTTCTTGCATCTAGCAGGTGACACTGGAGCGGGCCGTACTTACACGGGCGTTATCGGTTTTCTTTCTTATCGTTTTATCCCGATACAAAACGCCGACTTGCGTGCACGCAAACTCGATACTCGCTTCTGCCTTTGTTTCTCTTGCGTTTCTATTTTCTCTTCTGTTCTTCTTTTCTTTTACTCTTTATATATATATATATATATATTATACATAATCTCTTATCGTCGATTATTGCACATATCTACAACATATTATATATGGGCCTAATTACACACGAGCGCGCGCGCGCGCGTACGTGTCTTGCGTATCGTATATTGTATATTATAGGTATATGTCTACGTGCAGCGTTTTAGATCGCGAGATCGATAAAGGAGGCAGCGGTGTGGCCGATGGAAGGAATATTTTTTCAGCGATTAACGTAAATAGTCGTTCGTGAACGTTGCAATAGTTTGGGAATCGTTGATCGATGGTATAATAATAGCTTTAATAAAAGCTTTCTACGCGATCATTTGTTTGAAATTGTTCGCACGAGAATAAAGAATTAAGAGAAGTGTCTATCGGCTCGACAAGTTTGCGACCAATTCGCGGTAAGTTCAATAGGAGACTGTAGAGGTTAGAAATTTTTAGAAATTATTTGCGAGGATTGGAGTAAAGTAAGGAGAATCGAGAGTTGATAAGAGATTCCTAAGAATCGTGATAAATCCGCGGTAAATTAGATAGGAAACTTTTGGAAGCGTGAAATTCGGTATAACTTGTATAATAAAAATTTAATGATACGAATTTGAAAATTCGTCGAAGCACTTGGGCAAGTCGGTCAATTTTATTGTATGTATAATTAACGAGTCACTAACGAAACAACAAGTAACAGTCTCTTACGAGATAAGAGTAAACGATTTCGCCTAATTTCCTAGTAATGGAAGTATAAAAAATGGACGTTTCGGGCGATATTTGACGAGCAATGCGCCAAACTACGGTCACTTCCGTAGGGTTTCGGTAAAGCCTCCAGCAAGAAATTATACTTCGTTTGACGCAAAGGTTGTGCTACTTTGTATTTGCCTTTAAATCATAGACAGGACTTTGTAAAATTAATTATAGTATCCTCGCAACTCGACTGAGATTTCTCTCGTATTATTCATAACGTTGTAAAAACGAGTAATTAAGAATTTTCGTTTGATAGTAAAAATTATATTAACTGCTATGCTTTGTTCGAATTACACAGCTTTAATTTATATTTTAAAGCGTTACAATGCTAATCGAAAACTGGGTTTTATCAAATTCACGACCCATTTTCTTCCTAACCACTGAACCACTTTCGATGAAATTTCGCCCCGTTATTCCACTATAATATACGTATAATGGCGTTAAATAAAAAAAAAAAAAGAAAAAAATTATTCTATCACTTTATTGCAAATCTCAAAAAAAGAAGTTACATTACGAGTGAGTCGAAAGAATTACTTAAAAGCTGACGAAAGAATTCTTTTTTCTAACCTAGGAATTGCATTTGAAATTCCCTTATGCGATATGCTCGACAGCTTGTTAGAAATCACCGTGAAAAAGTTGATCGAATTTTCCTTTTTAAACGCCGAGGAAACGGGTCAGAATGGATAAAAAGTAGGATTTTACGAGAGAACCAGTTTTTTCCCGGTAGCGGTGCAGATTCATTTGTCAATCAATTCTGAATAAGAAATTCAGAAAGGTCAAGAGGTAGATGAAGCTTAGATACAAGGAAAAGGAAGACTGAGCGATGATCATTCTGCGAGAGTGAAATTCATCGGTATAATAATTACATCAAGCAATAATTACATTTTCCAGCGATGGAAATCAATTCGTAAATTTCGTACTTACTAATACTGAGACTTAAAATGAATTAAATACATCGAACTACCAAAAATAGATTTATATTTCCAAAACCGACTACAAAAGGAAAATTAATTTTTCTTGCACTCTTTCGCTTCTCGGTTCCTCTGAAACGATATTAGCCACGGTCAGAACTTTCCAGCAGAAACGGAACAGTATGGCCAACCTACGTAATTACCTATATGTACATATATAGTTCATAGTTTCTATGCAATTTGTTCCCAGAAACTTTATCGTAACCAAAGTTTGGCAAATTGCTCGACAAGCGTCTCAAACTTGTACGTATCATTTTAATGCTCAATTACTAAAAAGAAAAAGAAGAAAGAAAGAAAAGAAACAATGCAAGATGGAACGTACGTTTGTCAGACGAGAGACATTCCCTTTCATCGTCTTCCAATATTCTCCTTCATTGATCTGTGCTTCTGAAACAGCCTGAATACGTATATTATATAAATACATATTGTATACATTATATATTATACATAACCTTTATATACATATATATAATATATCATATGGAACACGCTGCATATACACGGTGTACACGCATAAAGCGAAGCATGCAACGAGTGCATTCGTGCATAAGGCATATTTACATACATATACATATGTGTGTGTGTATATATATATGTATATATATATATATATATACACATACATCTATACATACATACATATATACGTGCAACCTCTTAATTATAAGAAACGAGGCGCGAGGATGCGGTCTTGTTTCGAAATCGATTTTTAATTGTGGCTCGTTGCTTTTCCAGCGACCTTGAGAAGTACTTCGAATATCAGGGTCAGGACTACATTTGCTCGCGTCCCGACGACAACGGAATGCACTCTTGCAGTAACCTGCCGCCGCTCAAGTTCGGTGAGTGCATCTTCGATATTCTTTTCACTGGTTTTCCAATTGTTTTTTCCCTCTACCCCCACCCTTTTTTTTATTCGCTTTCAATCGAGAACAAGTTCACGGTTTCGTTCGACACTGGCATCGCGTGTTTTCGGCATCGCTGTCACCAGAATTTCAGGAAAAATATGCCCGCAGGATAGGAGCGAAAGAACGTCACACATATCTCGATGGAAATCGCGAGCGTCGATGGATTCGATGCTCTCTGTGACTGCTAGTTCCATCTTCGTAACTGCAAACGTAGAAACACGGAAACAGAATTTTATACGAAATTAGCAATCACTAAACGCGTTAAATCGATCGACTCTCGATATTCGCAAATAGGAAAACGTAGCAAATGGAAATGTATTTCCAGGTTACGATATTTCCGAAATCCGTCTCTGTATTTGCAAACGATCCGAGCTTCTCGTAATTTTCTATCGACGACGCGAATTTAAATCGAAAACTGCGAAAAAATATCCACTTTTTGATTTTCCATTCAACTTCTGTCGGCAGTCGATGTAAAGATACTGAGAAATTTTCCTACGACAGCTACTTCGTTTAATAAGAAATTTAATAAGATTTATCGAATCTGAAACATACATCGTTCTAAAGTTCATTAACGAACGTTAATTTCTCAGCAGATCCAAAGAACGAAATTCGTATCGGTTTCCCGATAGCGCGACATTCGTACAAGCCACTGAAGTGTTCTTGCTTTTAGGAAACGTGATTTGCAATAGCACCGCGTTGCCGAACAATAACGCAACGTTCATCACCAACGACACCTGCGTTAATTGGAATTACTACTACACGGAGTGCAAGGGTCAGGGTAACAATCCTTTCCAAGGAACGATATCGTTCGACAATATCGGTCTTGCCTGGGTCGCAATATTTCTCGTGAGTGTCCTAGTTCTCTCACATTCAGAAACTGAAACTTCACCGTAGCCAAAATTCCCTACTTTTGTTAGTATATATATATATACATACATAAATACACACACATGTTACATGTTACATGTTAGTATTGGTATAATCGAGTGAGTATTCTTATTATTCGAGTGAGTTAGTTTAACATGCAGCAGGTCAAGGATTGCTCCAGTAGCCAATCTTATCTATTCTATATGTATGCTTGGCAATTAGACTGCGGATGTTTCTGCATTTGTAGGAAACGTGAAACCCAATTTAAATGCCAACGCTTTGAGAGCGTGTAGAGGTCCAAAAAGCGGTTTAAGAGATTCAGAAGCGTTGGTTTTTCCAACATTTTGGAGAAAATCGCAGGGAAGGAAACAAAAATTGTTCTTGCTTTTTCGTTTGCGCATCTGCGCTTGTTTATACGCGTTATCGTTTATTTAACGAGGATACCGTTGAAAACGCTGACCTTTTGCAACAACCATTAGATACATCTAACATTGACCGCTCTAATTGCAGCCAGACATCGCGCTGCTGATATTTGCTGCACTGCAGCTACGGTTGGATACGGCTACAATTCGCCATTTTGGAATAAATATACGAACAAACGAAAATATTTTTCTTCGTTTTTCCGCGATTTCCTTCGAAATGGATCGAAAACGAGGGAATTTCTAAAGGACTCGTTTTTCCTCGGTTTATCGATCCCCTACACGCTCCTCAAGTTTCGATATTTAAATCGAAGACACACGTATATTGAATATATATTAAATTATTTTAGAAACGTCGATATTAAACAGGAACGAGGATTTTGAAACAAAAATGTAACGTCAAGTTGCCGAAGTTCCTACGTCTTACGGAGAAACATTTCTAAATTTTGCATCGATCGATAGCTCGTTGATCTGCTTTGGTAATCAAGATTCTACCGAAACACGCACAGATATATCACAAAATATTGTGCATATAAAAATTAAAGTATCGACTATATTTAAATTAATGAAAAATTGTTTTTCATTGAAATGTAAATTCGCACAGACACTCGCAGTCTGTTCGTCAGCAAATCTTGTAGCGACTCGTAATTTCATTTATTCTTTACTAAAAAGCTAACTGATTTAAGAAAATCTTTTGTTCGACCATCTACGATATATAATGCACCTCAACGTAATTTCTCCACGGAGATTTCAACTGCTTGGACGAGAAAAATTGACAAAGTAAATGATATCTTCATAGGTAATCAGTCTGGAGGGATGGACAGACATAATGTATTACGTACAGGATGCTCATTCTTTTTGGGACTGGATATACTTCGTCCTTTTAATCGTGGTACGTTTATTACTTCATGCACGATATTTACAAAAAGTATTGGCACGTAGCCTTATTTCCCGATGGACCATCCTTTCATCAACCTCTACATTTCATTGTCACAGTGTCGAATTCTAGCTTACGCAAAATCCCATAATAAATACAATGGTGTGCCGGTATTTCTTGTAAACACCGTATATATCGAATATAAAATATTCTTCATTTCTTTAATTTACTTCGTTCCTTTTAAATGCTGTTTGATGGAAACCTAAAAGGAAACAAAGATTCGTTTACTTCTTACTCTGCGATACGGAATGTTCTTCTGATTAAATAGAGATAAGTAGAGGGAAGTAGGAATCTTTTTCTACGGATTCAAAGATCGCACGATGTTTCGCAACGGGAAGAGAAACGTTTCTTTGCTGTTAACGAGCGAAAGAAAAAAAAAAGAAAAAGGAAAAAAAGAAAAGAGGAAATGGTGCAAGTTGAACAAATTTGGGTTACAGATTGGTTCCTTCTTCATGATTAATCTCTGCTTAGTCGTGATAGCGACGCAATTCTCAGAGACGAAAAAGCGGGAGATGGAAAGAATGCGACTGGAGCGTGCACGTTTTCATTCTACATCAACGCTTGCGTCGTCGACGAATACCTCAGAACCGACTACATGTTACGCTGAAATTGTTAAGTGAGTATTTAAGCGACTTTACGGGAAAAGCGTATTAACTTTTTCCCCTCTATCTCTCTGTCTCTCTCGCTCTCGCTGTTCTCGGCATTAAAGAAATAAAAAAAGGAAATTTAAAGCCGAGGCACGAAAGTACAAAGTTCAAGCACAACTTGATATAACCTGGATAGCGATATATGGTATACATGTACATTGAAAATCATAGCGATGTAAGCGAAGATCCCGAGGATCAGAGTTTAGTCACGTATTTCAACGCTTAAAAGTATCAGCACTTATATTTTCATAATTAATTAAGTTGCAACTCCGTTAACTGGAACACGGAGCATCGTTTTATGAAATATAATAATGTCATTACGATGTTCTCGGTTCTTTACATAATAATGAATAAAGGTTTTTACGAAAGTTTATTTATTACGTAATTGTCGAATTTGATTTTTGTCTTTTCCATTACGTTTTCTTTTTATCGTTCCATATAAGAAGATACGTATTGATTTTCGTCCGTTTAACTTTATATTTTTCGGCGCGCACGATATAGAAAAAGCTTTGTATTTTCATTTTCAATTTGTATCAATTTTCTAGTTTCAGTTACGGAAAACACGACTGTGGTAAACGTATCGTTTATTTTTGATCGATGCAACGGTATTTTAAATGGATGTCGCAAAATTGACGTGTAGATTTTAGTTAGATTTCATTCGAACGTAAAATAGAGATATTGGACAATTTTTTCAAGTTCTCTTTTCCACCTACGTAATCGTTTCTTCTCTCGTTATTATTTTTCACCGCTACCTAAGAGGCCTAAAAGAAAGATCGCTTTTCCATGTACGAAATAACGTTCACGAATTTTCCAATTACAATAGATCGAACGAATTGCAAACGAAAAGCCTGTAAAATAGTGAAATTTATTTTTTACCAAGTTCGATATTTTGCGTCGCACGTTATTCAAATGTACCATCGCCTATTTACATACATCGTATTTATACAGGGTGGTTGGCAACTGGTGGCACAAGCGGAAAGGGGATGATTCTACGCGAAAAAAGAAGTCGAAAGTGGTTGGTAACTGGTGGTACAAGCGGAAAGGGGGTGATTCTACGCGAAAAAAGAAGTCGAAAATATAGAATAACAATTTTTCGTTTGACGCTTTGTTTTCGAGAAAATCCACCTTGAATTTTCGCTCGGTACGCGCGCGGTACGTTATACCGGATCTCACTGTAGATCGTTGTCTCGATGGAAAAATTAAAAAAAAAATTTTTATTCTACATTTTCGACTTTTTTTTTCGCGTAGAATCACCCCCTTTCCGTTTGTACTACCAGTTACCAACCACCCTGTATATTTATTAATAATAATAGACACACGAGGTATTATCGTAATGCGCGTAACAAACATAAATATTGAACAAATAATATTACGAATTACAGTCAAGACGAGGTACGCGTTACTCTGAGAATCAAATTCGATATTAATAAAAGTTCGATAAAATCGAAGATAGGCAATTTAGAAATATCAACTCGAGCGTATCGCACGCGTGTGTGATCGAGTGTTTTAAAGATTTACATATTGATTAAACTTCCTTCGAAATTCGTAGAAATTTATACACTTCTATATCTGGAAGAATAAAAGGGATGCTACCACTTTTATTCCCTCAGGAGTAACTTGGCCGCTGTATCACATACGTCATAGAAAAAGCTGTAGAAAAGTTTCAGGATATAAAACAAAAGTTTCCTCGCTTTTCCTAATAATTTCCAAGCAAACCATATTGTTCGCTTTTTGATGGTTCTATTATCACACACTTTTTGACTTTATTAGATTTCTCGGTGAGAAATTGAAAATTCTTGATATATCGTTAAGTTGTATATCAAGGTGTGTTCCATTAGACTACCACTTTAAATAACGAACATCCTCGAGGAAACAGTTTCGCCACTACGCTGTTTATTTTTCATTTTCGATCGTTTTATCTTGAACATAAAGACGACCATCGTATTATTTTATTGAGCAGAAAGATCGCACAATAACTCTATTAAGGTTGTCGAGGAGAAGTAATCAAAGAGTCTTACAATATTGTGAAAGCCTACATTGGTCCTCCGCTTCAAGAATAAAGGGTTCTCATTTAGAATAGTTCTATTATCCTACTACTCGTTTTTTATTCTTTTTCTATTTTCTCACGGAACAGGGTTGCAATTCTATCGGACAATTACGTCAAATTTTTGCGGAAGAAGTAACTGCAAACTCTCTCGTAATATCGTCGAATTCATCGGTTTCCTCGATTGAGCCATCGCATTTAAAAAAGAAGGATTCTCGTTTAAAGTATACCATGCAGAAAGGCGAACAATAGTTTTATTAAATTCTTGGAAGAACGATGATTGGAAAACTGTGACAAAGCATACGTTAAACGAAGCAAAACACTGGCCAGTTAGTCCTTTGTTTTAAAAACGAATAATTCTCGTTTAACACTTTGACTGCCACGCTGAAATCACGTGTTTCGCTGAGGACGCCAAGGGAGTATTTTTATTATTCGAAGCGTACAATGGCAGAATAATAATAAATCGACGATGTGAAACAACGTTCTGTTCTTACGGGCGTAGTTATGCGCACAGTGGGTGTAGAAAGCATTCGTACGCTCGTTTGAAGCGGAATAATAAAAACGAATAAAGAAGTTGTAGAAAATTGTCTTCGCGTTCCTTTCGCGGTCTTCACGACCGATTACGTTTTTTTCTTTTTTTCTTTCTGAAATTCTTTCTACGCGTCATTCGGTAAACTGATCCTTCTGATTTCTCGAGCAAGTTGTTTGGTTCAATTTTAAAAAAAGTTATTCTGTTCTAAAAGAACGTACGATAGTATTTTCTACACTCGCTGTATCATGGTTCGTGCAAAGTATCTGATAGATACTATCCGCGTACAGGGCGAACAGAAAAATTAATATACTACGCTTTAATAGATGTTATCGTAATTTATGTTAACGCGTGTTAATATGTACTGGGAGAAGGAGAATGGGGAAAGTGGAGAAAGGAAGATGAGAATAATAAGACCAAAGAGAGCACTGTGCGTAATACAGATCAGAGGGTGGTGCAAAGGGATGAGTGTTTATAAGGAATATTGCAAACCAAGTTCATTCTATGGTTCTCTGGAGTTACAATAAGTATCCATCTACATCTATTTAACACTTTGATTGCCACGCTGAAATCACACGTTTCGCTGAGGACGCCACGGGAGTATTTTTATTATTCGAAGCATATAATGGCAAAATAATAATAAATTGACGATGTAAGACAACATTCTTCCCCAATCGACCACTTATCTTATTGGTGGTCACGGGTGACCACCGTGGCACCTTGGTAACAGTCGATAGCGACGTATTATAACGAGGCTTCGTTTATTTCAACAAACCATTCGCTCTTCGTTATTTCGTCGTAAGCAAAACGTGCGGAATATATTGTTGAAACGTGTACAAGATATTAGTAAACGGTATTTGCTCGTTCTATATATAATAGTAAGGTATGTGCACACTTCTAACTTCAATTATACGATTATAAAGCAGCATTTACGATTATTTTCTAAGCTGTGTTTATAATAATATTCGTAGATTATCTTTCAAAGCTATGGATGCAAGCACAGTACACCGTTCTCTTTTTTTTATTAATATTCTAATAAAAACGTTTAATCGTTCAATGGGGCACATTTTGTTCCAGAGTATCTTCTATTTATCGGTTATTTCTATTTTCGTTAATTCTATTTTCATAGAATTTTTACAATTGTAAGAAGTGGAAGCGCTCCGGTCATATCTGACCAACGGTAGCAGTCAAAGTGTTAAAATAATTCCATTCCATAATACGATTATTCGTTTCTTGTTCTTCAATATCCTATTTTATTATCTTACCACGCGGAAAGACCAACGATTGTCTTACGGAATTTTTGGAGAAGAAATGATCGCAAACCGTGGCAGTGTCACGTTAAACGAAGCGAAATAGCGCTTCATCGGTTCTCCGCTCGAGAAACGAAGGAGTTGCCATTTGAAATTGTCTTTTGGTTGTTCCATTCTGCTATAATCGTACCGCATCTTCTCAGATATATTGCACACCTGTGGCGAAGAGGAAAGAGAAGGTTAATGAAGAGGTACCGAGTGTATTTATACAAAAGACAGCAGAAACGCGAGCAGAATTTACTTAAGGAACAGCAACAACATGGACACCCGTATCGAGCAGGTGCACCCGGCCCTGATTCGAATAGATTACCCGGAGGTAAGAGAGTTGTATCTCCTAAGTGAGGATTAATCCCCTGCAACGTTTGATTTTCATTGTAATTTACGAGCTTCTCTGCAAACTGCAACATCTTTTCGACGTCTCCGTCTCATTTCGCCTATATGTTCTTCCTTGGAAACGAATGGCCGTGTAGTTTGCCATTTTTCTGAAAGAAACGAAGATTTAATCGTCTTCGAAACGATCCAGGCGTCACGTGCTTTTCTTCCCTGTCGAACGTGGTTCGTTCATGGAGGAATCTTTCGAGCCAGTAAAGTTGATAAATTCCGAAGAGATTCGTAAATTTGTTTCTTTCGAAGAAGATTAATTCGACAAACGGGGGATTCGTAAACCTTACGAGAGCAAAATTAATTTCAATAGAAAGGAAATTGACTGATCTGTTGAAAAGGAAATGAATTTTGGAGAGAAGGAAATTTCGTTGATTTTGTAAAATCGCTAACAAGTTTCGTGAATTTTGTTCAAATTTCGTTCTCGTAATTTCTTTTTTTAAAATGTAAAACTCTCCGTTCCGAGCGATTGTATTTCTTGACGAAAATACGGGATGCCTCCTCGTGTTTATTGACAGAAGCTTGGCGAATTTACAAAACTCGGTAAAGGTAGCAGGAAACTTTTTAATAAACGTGAATGGGCGAACCAATCGTTCTCGAGGTATTCAATTATTACGTTTAACTCGATAATTCTGTTCGTTCTTATCACGAAATAATCGATATCTCGATAAACTGGAATATCGGCCAACGATATCCGCATAGAATGTACTTACGAGAGACGTTTAAATCGTCGGTGGTTCGTTTCACTGCAAGCACGAGAGCGTTTTTTTAGAGATGAACGTACGCGATCAGAGATTCCTGGAATATCTGGCGCTGTTCCGCGCGATTGCTTGAGAATATCACTTAAACTGACGCTATTATTGCGGGAATAATAGAAGATCTCAGACGATGGAGCGTGTGTTGGGAACAATGCTACAGTGATCGTAGGTTCCAGGAAGAGTGGCTGTTCTATTGTATCGAGTGCGGAGGAAGTGCGTAGGCCCCGGATTTTACATGTTCATTAAGAAATTATGTATCTCGTAAACGATTTGTTTATACGTCTGTGTTTATTAACACACTGCTGCCTCTTTCATTCTGTTTTATCAATTTGATAGAATAGCTCCTCCGATAGTTTTTCAAATTATAGCTTTTATTACGGTACTATGTATGTTACACGCGATAGTTTTAAAGTCTATAAACGTCTACAAACGTACAAATAATCATATTCTTTTTAATTTTGTTTTAATAAAAACGAATGAAACGGCAGACGATTTTCCTCTAACGTTCTTTTAATCTTTTCGTGTTCGACGTTCGCTGCGTATAACATTGCACTCGGCAAACGATCAACTAAAAGAGCAATAAGCTCGTCTTTTTCGGTCAATTTGCCTCGATATTTTATTACCTTGCGAAAAAATCGGAAGAAATACGTTTTCGTTATCAACGATCGACAAAACTATTAGATTGTCAGAAATGTTTCTTTCGTTTTATAAGGAAATAATAGACGCGCAATGCTCTTTATGTTATATTAGTTTACCGAATCATGCACTAATATCATGCGATAATCATGCAATGATAGAAATAGAACGAAATGGATCACACCTAATTCGATAAAATAATATAAAACAGAAATCGTTGTTCGTCTATTATCACCTTGTGAAAGGAAAGAAACCTTTCGAACAAGCTGATATATTTTTTCCTCAAACGTAAAAAAACATTCGACTCTGTGGAATTTAATACGCTCGACAAAATATACGTTTCGAAACATCTGGTTCCAATTAAAAATTTTACAAGTAGATATGCGGATAATTATTGACTCTCGCACAAAGACCCATGAAGCGACTTGGTATCGAGTATTCTTTAAGGTCTTTCATTTTTATCGACTTCCATGCAATTAATACTTGCTCGACAGTTTTTCCACGGGACACGATATATCGATTCCCATTTAACATAATTGATATCGTTGAATTTCATACGACCCACTTTAATATTGTTACCATGCACGTTATTATACGTTCGTCAGATAGGAGAATCCATCATGGTAGATGTCCTCGGTTGTTGGCGGCCCTGGAATACGCGGAACAGCAACAACAGCAGCAACAGCAGGGGGTTGCTAGCGGCGGAGGGTCGCTCACTGATTTTCCTGCGAACAGTCCTCCGACGCAGACTGCGATTCTCGCGACTGCTCTCAGTAACAACGGCGGCAGCAATGGAAATTTGGCGATTGCACCTCGTGCCAGTCCTGAGATCTCTGAGGCTGACGTCTCTTCGAACGTGTGCCATCGTATGGCACTGCACAGGACTTCCTCCGTTTCCTGCAATGGAAGCGACAATGTCTTTTCCAACGCGACTGAAGCGAGTATTCAGGTATGCTCCGTCCACGTCATTTAGTATTTTGGTTTCTGATGTTGAACCACGTTCAAGGTAATCGTAGAAAGATTCCACATATTTCAATATTATTTTGTCTTTCGTTAATGCGTCTCTCGGAAGTTAAACCGATCAACTTTGCTCTCCATTCGTTTCTTTCTGACAACGTTGTAGTATTCGTTTCAGTTGCGATGGTTAACACCCAAGAAACAAACGACTTGCTTCTGTCGGTTTATTTGTGACAAGACGATGACCGAGGAAATTTAAGAAACGACGCTTGTAGCGATATCGCTTTTCGGTATTTTCTAATTCGCAAAGTCGATCAGTGTAACTTGCGAACGACTGAAATTAATATTTGAACGAGAAGTACTACGTTAGAGGTGTGGAGTTTCAAATTAGTCTTTTTTACTTAATCGTCGATAATCTTTCACGAATAAAAAAAAGTACACGCAGACTCTTCTTCTTCTTCTTTTTATTTGCGAGTTATCATTTTAGCGATATTCGTATTTCACGATACTAAAGTTTCGCGCAACAGCCTTTCCAAGTCAACAAACCCATCAAAATCTATCCCCTAAGGTCTTCCAAATGCGAAGGATTAAACACGTTTCGAAACTCATTAGTAATCGGTAGACGATGCAAAATTTCTGAATTTAATTCCCCGTTGAAATTGAACTACGCCCTCAGACGAACAACGCGCTGCTAAGTCCGCCTTGCACGAACTATCGTAGAAGGAGCAGCGTGATGTTCAGCGACGTGGTGTTGTTGCACGGCAGCAACAACGTCGGAAACGCGTTGCAGGCCGGCTCGACGACGGTGTCACCCGGCGAACGGAACGTATGCTCCTGCGAAAAAATGACGCAGACCGGTGACGGGAATGTTTGGTCGAGCCCACTGCCAGACCACATACAGGTATATTCCACTGCGAGCGCATGTGGCCGGAATTTCACCGGCTCGTGTCCGTTGCATTCGCGTAATTTGTCATGTGAACATGTGTCACCGTAGATGCAGGCTGAATTTGGTGGAAACGAAGCCATGACTTGTCAAGAATTACTGGCGTTAAGCGGTGCTTTGAGCGCCGCGCTACCAACCGGTCAGCTGGCGTTGGATTCTTTTCTCAATTCGCTTACCAAAGGTATATTATCTTTTACTCTTTTTCCTCTTCGCTATATTTGAATCTATATTTTCGGAGAACATACTTGCACCTTGTTGTTCCTAGTTTGTAGCTCTTGCAATTGAGAGGCTGGATGAGAAAATGGTATATGAATGGAATTTGAGAATATCGTGGGTAACGTTTGATTTTGCCGAACAGTTTTAACACGTTGACTGCCACGCGCGTTTTCAAAGAAATCTCCGTCAGGCCACGCGTACAGCAGTACCGAGCGTTCTCTGCTAGGTGCTCCCATCGATATTTTGGTAATGCTAGTCGCTCGTGCGATGGTCTCAAGAATCACCTTTCGTTTCGTTTGTTCGCAACGTTAAAACCACTAGCTGTTGTTGAATATAACGAAGGAAAGTGTGGTATAGATTATTCCGACCAAATGGTTTCTTATGCCACCACGATTAGAAAAGGAATCAAATGGTACGGAAAACTTGCCATTCGATTCTTTCTGAGAATCTCTGTTGTAAACGCTTTGACGGTTTACAGAATTGCGACAAGGAAGAATATAGATATTAGAATATTTAGACGATTATTAGTTGCAAAATTATTAGGGTTGTCTGAAAATACAAAAACTCCTTGTCTTCGACGGAGTCGGCATAATATCGTCGTTCGGGAAAACGTTTCCGGAAGAAGCATTAGACGCGCGTGCAAACTATGTTATGCAAATAGAAGACGTCGAATGGACCGAACAAAGGCACGAAAGAATTTGAAGAAAACAACTTATCGTCCAAATTGTCCTGACCAACCTCAGCTATGTATAGAATGCTTTAAAGTTTTACATTCTAAATAATTTTTGTAATAAACCATTTCCGTATTTTTATTTTATAACAATTCAAGAGTTTTATTATTATGGAATATTTTTCAAATACCTACGACGATCCTTAGCAAGTGGCCCGACCAGAAACTTTGCTGACACCCGAATACGGGTGTCGTGGCAGTCAACGTGTTAAGAAAGGAATATATTACTATACTTGGTAGTATTAGGTTGTCCGAAAAGTTTCTTTCGTTTTATAAGGAAATAATAGACGCACAGTGTTTTTTGTTTTATATTAATTTATTGAATTATGCACGAACGTAATAGAAATAGGACGAAATGAATCATACTTAATTCGATAAAGCAATATAAAACAGAAATTGTTGTTCATCTATTGTTGCGAATTATCGACTAAAGAGCAACCGGCCAGGTCAAACCGATCGGTCGATATCGCGTACCTCCAATGAATTAACGCTCAAGGTTTAATAGATCGAGTGTTAGAGTAATCTAGCACTGTACCATATTTGCACTTGTTGTATAAAAGTAACGTTTGATATTACGAACACGGCGGTGGTAAGCTCTTGTCGAGAGCAAAGTATTTCACCCGTACGGATGTCTGATGATGAACTGTCCTCCTACGTTGCTGATTCTCCCTACCAGCCGTTGGGTTTCGTCTGTCCATCGTGCCCTTCCGGCTGACCTTTTCCCGGAGTATTTTACCTGACGTCGGAGTCATTAGGTTTACAGCTCCGGGAGGACATGTAATTCGGAATTTCCCAAAGAAGGGAATGGACCTGTCCGTGCCATAAACGGACGGCCACTCAAAATTCCGAACGTCTATTATCATCTTATGAAACGAAAGCAACTTTTCGAACAACCTAATATACAGGGTGGTTGGTAACTGGCGGTACAAGTGGAAAGGGGGTGATTCTACGCGAAAAAAGAAGTCGAGAATGTAAAATAAATATTTTTTTTTTTTAATTTTTCCATCGAGACAACGATCTACAGTGAGGTCCGGTATAACTAAACGCGATAAAGTGCACGCGTACCGAGCGAAGATTCAAAGTCGATTTTCTCGAAAACAAAGCCTCGAACGAAAAATTTGTATTCTATATTTTCCACTTCTTTTTTCGCGTAGAATCACCCCCTTTCTGCTTGTACCACCAGTTACCAACCACCCTGTATAACTTCGAAGCATGATGTTTCCAGCTACTGTATCTCGAAATACGGTACTCGGACCATCGATAATTTCAAGCGAGACGTTTCGAGATGCGGTGTTTCGAATGGCAAGTACTTCGAATTACGGTATTTTGAGGCTTGGAATCAGGAAATATGATACTTGGAAATAGAGTATTTCAAAGTACAGTAGTCTGAAACGCGATATTTCCAAGTACAACATTTCAAAAGTACTGTATTTCAAAGTGCAGTATTTCCAAGTGCGATATTCGGGATTTCGTGGTACAATGTGTCAAAGTATAGCGCTTCGAACTACAGTGTTTCTCACTACGTGTAATATCAATTCGTTAACAATGCCTTTGAGCTCTGCCTTTAGACGAATCTACGCCGTGCATTTAAATTACCTTTCACCTACGACAAAGAGCAAATCAAAGGAAATATACCACGTGCGATTGAAATCAGCAGAGAACGCGGTATTCCATTTGACGATCGCGCGTATGTATATAGAGAAACGTTTATTTTAGGAATAACGGATCGACGCATTACCCTGGAGGATCGTACGCAGTGGTTAGCGTCCGACATTGATAATTGCTCGTGTTGCTGTGAACTCCAGGGCACTGATCAATGGCCAGACGAAGGTGACAAATGGGCGAAAACCTCCCGCGCTAGAAGAGTGTTGAGAACTTGCGGCAACCGTTGTGTTTGCGCGATACGGTGCATAAGACGGTCGATTAAGAAGCTGGTCGAGCACAAATATTTTCAACAGGGTATCTTATTGGCGATTTTGATCAATACTCTGAGCATGGGGATAGAATATCATAACCAGGTCAGTGTTTTTATCTCGTATCGTGACATATTCGGTATTCGTGTCAGAAGTGTACAGTTAGTCGATGGAAGCGATATAACGAGGCTAGAGAAACGAAAACACGAAGTCGTCATGCCGATTGACACCACCGTATTTCACGTAATCCTGCACGTTTTATTAGATCACGTACGTTGAATTTCATGTTCCAAGCCGAAGCTGCCAAACAGTCACTCGGCGATTGATACTTCAAATTTCTGCATTACGCGTATGAATCGCTCGAGAAATAGCGATTTCTGCTATTCGTTCAACCTGTTCTCTTCTTCGCGTTGTATAAAAATGTCTTTATATGTATCGCGAAAGAAGAAATAATTCTAATTGTAAATGAATACGATTCTGGAAATGTATGTAAAGTCTGACCGATTTCTGTGATTTTATCACAGATACGCGTATATCGCTTCGATCAGTTGTGTATCTTTTTACTTGTTAATAATTACTTGTTAATACACGATTCTCGTTTATGTACCACTCGTTACAAGAAATAAACGTTCCAATTATAGTGACATAAATATAATCGACAGTGATACAGATATTTTACTCGTCTGCCTGTATCTTGTTATTTTTCATTTTGTAAATATCTACATTGTTATTTATGTTGCATCGTATCGATGGTACAACGATTATCGTTTGCATAGAGTAAACGAACCTCTTGTCTCAGGTGTCTTCGATCACGAACAACTTCTCGAGATTCTTTCTCGTCTTCGATAGTTTTCTAGTTCATAGTTTCTAGTTCGTTATGATAGTTACCTTGTATAAGTATGCGTATGCAATGTACATTAATGACGCTTTTCAATCGCAGCCACCTGTTAAACTCGTAGACGAAGTTTGTTGAATTATCGAACATTCTGTACATTCTCTCATTATACACACGATGACATAACGCGATACAATAACGTCACACGACATACTTAATAATTCAATTTCATTTTTATTTATGCTCTTTCAATTTTCATCGTTCGTTCAATAAAACTGGTCAATTTTCCTTTCGCCTTTTCACATTCCCCCCGCACATTCAGTCGCTCGCTTATTCAGCCAATCTTTCCAGACGTTCCCACAAAATATTCGATTACAGTGGTTGATATTGGGTGAAAAAGGAAGCTTTCTGTTTATCTTTCAGTCAGAGCAGAGATTGGCTTATCGCAGACGCGGTAATATACAATTTCCAGATAGCTGGCTATTCAAGCTGACACGAGTAGAATCCTTGAATTGTGCGCCACGCTCTCCGCGAGCCTGTATAAATAATTATTCGCGAATCTAACGAAACAATTAGTTAATCCCTTGTTGGCATGGCTGATTATTTATAATAAGTTAATACTTATTATAGACTCAGGTATAGCTGACACCAAAATCCAGCTAAGGCAACGACTTTTCATTAAAAGTTTATCCAATTCGCTATATTTTGTTTCACGTAGACTCTTTTTAAAGGAAACCGCCTCGATTAACTCGCTTATTCCTTTTCGATAGCGTTGATTACGACACAAAATCCTTAATCGCTTCAATCGTTCCTTTCGTGTTATCTTCGGATTTGAAACGTCTGTTTTTGTATAGAAGGTGATCATAAAAGGTGAAATCATCCGATTGTGTTTAAAAGACGACTCACAAATTCTCTAGCGCGGCGATACAACTCGCGAAGTACCTTTCTTTTTTTATTTCTTTACTATTCGTAAAAAGCGAAATGCCGTCAATCCGGTTTATCTATCGACGAAATTTATTTGCCAACTTTTAACCGTAATCTATCGAACGACCAGCGTACTTACGTTATCTTCATACGACGATAAGAGCATAATAAAAATCACATCACTTCAATATTCAAAATAAAGATCAGAAATAACGTTTGAGGGCGGAGTAAATAAAATTCGACGGTAATACACAAGATACAGAAAGATTTTATAGGTATAGGTGCAGGATTTTATTAAATTCGCTTATGTAAGAAACTTTATATCTCGCTGTAATGCATGTATGAACCATAAATATTTTATAGCAGAATGTAAAATTTATTGATCGCTGTTTTTACAGTAAAATAAAATTACATCATGAAGATTGATAAAGGTCTTAAAGCAAACGCGAGAAGCTGTAGTTTTGGTGAAGATTTGCACGCGCTGTTATATGAAATGAATCCTTAAACAGCTCTTTCATGATGTAGCTCGTTTATGGTTTTTCCTTGTTCGCAGATTAGTTAGAAACGCTGCAATAAATAGAGTTCTGACCTAAATCTCACATAACGCGTTACGGGGTCGTTTAAAACGAACCAGAAGCGAAAAGCAGGATAAAGAAGGAAATCAGCTTTTTAAAGTACCGTAAAGAGGATGGTGAGAAACGTGGAACGAGTTTATTCAAAAAATCACGCGACATCATTTTTCAAACGATTCCATCGACAGAGATTGAAAGATCTATAAAATATCGATTACTGCAATTGCAATTACTGTAATTATATACCTTACAAAAAAAAAAAAATTAATAAAAATGTAAACTTTGAATTTAAAAGTTTAGAAATCTTACGCGCTTGAGGTCGACAATTATTTCGATACAGTAGAAGAATATTGAAATTATTTTATCGAAATAAACATTCACAAACAATACAGAAATCCGTCAAATTTATTCATAGAAACGAAATACGTTTTTAATTAGATTTCCAGGACGATCTTTTGCTTCTTGAACCGTTATAGAGGGAGTGTCGTGATTGGCGAATGTAGCGATCGGCTGCTAGTGTCATCGTGGAAATCGTCGTGTCAGTGTTACTGACACGTAATAGTGTCCATCCAAAACCTTAGGTGGCTAACACCCTACCTTTGTTTGCGCCGTAATCTCTGAAACCCTGTCACTTGCAACTATTCACACATATGTACATACATGTACATACACGTTCACTTGGAATTTCTATTTGCACACGTCAGAGAATAAATATTGTAATATACAGGGTGTTCTGTAACCGACGCATAAGGGAGACTACACACCGAGATAGAAATAAAATGTTCCCGAGAAAGGGAACTTTGACAGAATTCTGAGTGAGACAAGGGGTTCATCGCGATTTCATAGCGAAAATCACTTTTTCGATGCATATGTATGTATATACAGGGTGGTTGGTAACTGGTGGTACAAGCGGAAAGGGGGTGATTCTACGCGAAAAAAGAAGTCGGAAATATAGAATACAAATTTTTCGTTTGAGATTTTGTTTTCGAGAAAATCGACTTTGAATTTTCACTCGGTACGCGTGCGGTACGTTATACCGGACCTCACTGTAGATCGTTGTCTCGATGGAAAAATTGAAAAAAAAAAATATGTTTATTCTACATATTCGACTTCTTTTTTCGCGTAGAATCAACCCCTTCCCGCTTGTACCACCAGTTACCAACCACCCTGTATATACATACATATGCATCGAAAAAGTGGTATCCTTTTTTCCTGTTTATCGGTCGACAGCCGGAGCAATTGACCATAGTGGTCGAGATAAGCAATATCGTGTTTTCGGCCGTGTTTGCCGTGGAAATGTTGCTGAAGATCATCGCGGAGGGTCCGTTCGGTTACATAAGCAACGGATTCAACGTTTTCGACGGAGTCGTCGTGGTGCTCAGGTATGCGAATAAAACAATCATTTACGCGAATCAACACTTTGACGTTTTTCTAAAAAAAATGTCGAACAAACACGTATCTCTGAAAGTTAGAAAATTTGATAAATTTACCGATAAACAAGACATTGATTCCATAAAAATACATCGATTACGAACTTTTCCCAAATTTCGCTGCGAATATTCCTTATAAACCGATGCTCGTGACATCGGTGGAATTCAAAGCAAAAATTTGCAAGAGAAGACTCGAGTCTTTCGTATTAACTTAAAATATAAAGAAACTCAAACATACCTATTCATTAGAATCGAACGGATAATTCCAAAGGTTCGAGCATTCGAATGGTCTGTTAATGTAAGAGTTACGCGTTATATCGCACGACAATGTATATGCAAAAGGAGGAATTTTCTGTTGAACGTCTAGCGTGGTGGAGATTTGTCAAGCGTTCGTTGAGGAGAGGAGCGGAAGTTCCGGGCTGAGCGTGTTGAGGACCTTCCGGCTACTGAGAATCCTCAAGCTCGTGCGCTTCCTACCGAACCTCCGGCGACAGCTGTTCGTGATGCTGCGTACCATGGATAACGTTGCCGTATTCTTTTCCCTTTTAGTACTTTTCATCTTTATATTCAGGTAAGTTGTTCCCTTTCCCTTTAGGCAACCAGTGCCCGGGAATTGTGCTCGCGGTTGTCGGCCACGTCGTCGTCGGTCTTTAAAAATCGTCGAGATGCACGTTTCCAGGATCGCGGTTCGCGTCGGCCATCATCGTCGCGATCACCACGCGGACAGTTATCAATCGTCGGATCGCAAACGCGTTTCGTGTTCACGGACACGGATTTAACGTTGCGCGTTACTTCCGTTCAGATAATCACCTCATCAGCATAACGTTTGCATGACAGCCAAAGCGAATTGAAAGATCACTGGATTATCGATGGACTATCACGAATTGTGGAGAGACTAAAGAAACAGAGCTAAGTTAAGTGTCAACGAGACCGCGTTTCGATCGAATCCTCGCTCGATGGCGCGACGTACAACGATAAGGCGAATTTATATTCGCACGCTTCGTATTCGCGTCACGGTTGATTCGTCCGTGGTGAAAGGGAAAGATGACAGCCAGGATATTTATATCAAATCGTTGAATTTGTTTCGGTGGTTTTCAAACTGACGATTGAGATGAAACGCAACGAGCGTTGCGGATGAGTCGACGAATTTAGGTTTTTGCGGAAGAACGTCGTAAAATAGTTCTAGACGAACCATCGTGATTCGGTTCGTCGAAAGTAGAGATATATCGACTGAGATTGATCTATCGTACTAGATCTACGTCGTTCACCGGTCGTGGTATTTTACGAATACGATTGTTACGCCTTTCACCGTGCGACGAGCGATCCGCGATGCAAGTCTAAGAGCGTAGAGTGTAAATTCGCGTTTATCGCGTTCCTTCAGATATTCCTTCGGCGATGTTGTTCATCGTAGAGAAACGCGTTCGTTTCATTTGATTGATTCGAGGGTCTCGTTGACATTTATTGTCTTTTGAGAACAGCTTCTTGTCCGCTTCCGAGCTTCCACAGGAGCTGGGGCTTGTATGTCACTGCTCTTCGAACACGAAGTGTATTAGGTGACTATGTCTTCCGTTTTATACTCCTTTTGTCTTTTCTCTTCTTTATGCGCTTTTTTTATCTTCTCTCACGGCATATGGATCGCCGCGTAAATTGCATCTCACGTATTATAGATGAAACCGAGTCGCAGCAGTTCTCTCGTTTTACATTATTTACCACACTGTTGCGTTTGCGACTGCAGCGTTTTCTGACGTTGTAATGGTAATGAACGATGGGTGTTTGTTGGCACGTGTCTACGAGGAGTGTCTTGTTGGCCCTTTCTCATGGCTTGAGGCATCGAACGTGTATATTATTATTATATACTGTTTCTTTTCTCATTTGTTTATTTATTTTTCTACCATTTTTTTATTATTATTATTAGAGGACACCTATTATACATATGAATATCGATATGAATATAGATGTATACATATATATATATACATACACGTATATGAATATATATATATATGTATATATATTTTCATGTGTGCATGGTGCTTTTCATCTAGCGACGAGTATGAGAGCTATATGTATATATATATATACTACTACCTATTAATTATTCGTGTATTCGTACGTCTTCTTTCTTATTCTATTGCCCCGTTCTTCTTCCTTTTTTTAATGCTATGTACTCTCTAAGTGCCTACAAAGTGCGCCTCGGTGTGGTCATCGATATTAGACAGCTTGCGAATGGATAAATATGTATCTCTTTCGGTTATTTGATTATGCTGCGAACACGGCCTCTCGCTATCCCCGCGGGTTTGACACGCGTCTCGAGATCATCCGACGGTCGATCGATCGTTCGTCGCAATCGCCATCGGCTTCGTGTTATTTTTGTTGCCATCGTCAGTCCGTTTGATGTTTGATCTTATTATCCAGGGACTCAGGTGTGCGTCATTTTTTTAAACTGAGGAAATTTTTGAAATACTTTGATTCTTCGAACTACGTGCCATCATAGGATATTCTTTTTCTTTTACGTTTCTTTTCTTTTTTTTTTTGTCCACGCTTCTGTTTTTCGATCTTTCGGCGAGAAACGCGCAGGCGATCAGATGGTATTCACTATCGGCCAGAAGCATGAGCCTCGTTGCTAGTTTTCATGGCAGACTGTTGACAAGCTGTGTGTGTTATTAAATGTGGCAAATTAATTTCCTTCGTAGCAACTACCGCTGCAGCATTACGGGTCGGTGAGTCGAGTTTCGATCTGTTCGAAGGCGACTTTCGAAATGTTGCGACATTAGGCGTGGAGATGATTCTGTCCTTTTCAATTATTCTATTTTTACTTATTATATTCTCTATAAGTTTATTGTTGTTATTATTATTATTATTATTATTATTATTATTACTTTAGAAATCATTCAAGGGAAGGAACTGAAACTTACATAGGTTATTCTTCGACAATCGTTTATTTCGAAAGAACATGAATTGGAAGCGCGATTCCTAATTCTTATTTATAAAACACTTTCGCCAAGGTTCTATACTTTTGGCTGGTAGTATATACCACTGTCGAGATAGTTCCAAATCGCAGGATCAATAAACGGAACTATCTTTAAATCTTTAAGCAAACATATTAAAACCTATCAGGATAATAAAATGCCTAAGTAAAGTCAATAGCCATAAATTATAAATACAGATATACGAGTATCAACTATAACCCATTCGAAAAGATTTGGCTCTTTTTTAAAGTAGATCTCTGCCGGCTTTCACGCAAACAGAATTACCCACGCGATATTCGTTTGGACGAATTGATATTAATTTTGACGTTAGTCTGCGTTAGCATACGCGCTGTAACGTAGGACGAGCGCACCGTCATCAGACTTTCTATACGATTACTTGTTAAGTGACTCGATTTACCGTAGTCGAGAGAAGCTTCTCTATTTTTTCTCCAAACTAAATTTGTTTTCTTCCTCTATCAACCTTGCTACCCCATCCCGTCATTATTTCCTCTGTCCCTCTCTATCTCTCTATCTCTCTCTATCTCTCTCTTTCTATTCCCCTCTCTCTCTCTCTCTCTCTTTCTCTCTCTCACTCTCTCTCTCTCTATTCCTCTCTCTCTGTCTCTCTCTGTCTCTCTTTACATCCCCACGTTCTTACTTCACTTCTTTTTTCTCTTCCCTACACAACTATCTGTCTATTTATCTACCTATATATTTACGGATAAGGAAGTACATTGCACGTTTCGTTGTGTTGTAGTATTCTCGGGATGAACCTGTTTGGTTGCAAATTCTGTGAAACGATGAAAGGCAGCTCTGACGTCGAGTGTGATAGGAAAAACTTTGACTCGTTACTCTGGGCTATTGTGACGGTGTTTCAGGTACCTACAAAGGATACTTTTCCACGTATCTCTCGAGGGCTTTATTTTCCTCTATATAGTGTATATTATATATTATATATATTATAATTATATTATATATATATATTTATTCGTATATATACATATTAACGTTACATACACATGCAACCACGTATGCTAAGTTACCTCGATATATGTATATATGTGCACATATATATATACATATATGCCCTTATATACAATACATATATACGTACGACATATACAATATATCGTCACATTCGTCATTGAACGGCCGAAAGACGTCATCTGCTACGTTTATGATTATCGCGAGGCCTTAAGGTAACGTATGAGAGATACATACATGAAACGAAAATTATATACTCTATAATGGCATGCAGAGCCGTATCG